TGTGTGTGTGTGTGTGTGTGTGTGTGTGTGTGTGTGGTTGTGTGTGTGTGTGTGTATACGCAGCTGACGGTGACATCAGTGCACTGTGCCGCACGAACTCGAAAAGATACTTCACTATGCGGCTGAATGGTTTTGAAAAATTATCAAGCGGTAATTGTGTCTTCTTTTTTACCCCCCACAGACCGATAACTGTTTTCAGCTCAAACTGACCAGATGTTATGGTGGCAACGTAAGATGGCTGCCCTCTGGCTTCGGCACTGAGGGGCCAATTGTTTGAGCATCATACATAAGTCCGTGTATAAATGTGACACTTTTTCAAATGAATTTTTACAGACAAGCTTCATGCCTCCCAATAGATGAACCAACATTCTTGTCACATCTGACCAATCGTTACCAAACGCGTCACAGTGAATCAACAGAACTGTCCGAGACCGGCCTCATAGCGAATCTTCATATCGTACTTTCCCTACCCTTGACTTGGCTGGGTGAAGAGTTTCCATTTCATTGATCCCAAGATAGGAACAACTGCGCAGTGTTATTGATGGATTCAAAGATTATGCTTATCTTCTTGCAGCGGCGCACGGCTAGTTCCAGATCGGGAAAGAACTATTTGTATTTGGCAACGTCTCAGCTGTACGCGATACCTTTTATATTGAAGATCTGCACAGAAAATGAGCCATTGAGAACTCCAGTGGACTAACTCGCACTTGTCAGGAGAGTGATTTATACGTATTATAAGTGCAATAAAAATCTCAGGTTTGATACTTGATGATTTTAGCTCTCCAATTATCCAGGAAAGAGGATGAATGATAATCTCTGTTAGTGACCCCTACACGATTTAATTTCGGACTCTTTGATCAATCTCTGAAGTCTGAAGCTCACTTTCCAGGATGTTTTCGTGGTGGTGCTAGTAGTGGCAAATGCTTAAAAAAAAGGTTTAGCTCTACTTTAATTAGACTTTTTGTTACAGTTAACTGTGTTGCATATCACTAGAGGGAGGAAAGCCGTTCTGCTAATCACGTTAGTGCTTATGAGTTTTCATTGTTTTGAAAGTAGGGCCCGTCAGTATTTAGGTCAAACAGCTTTTCAGTTTATTTTCCAAGACTGCTCTTGCCAGAGGTACGCTAAATCAACTTTGCGATCTGTTTGTTTGGTTATGGTGGTGGCAATTTTTTATTTTTTTTTTAAACCCGGCGCGCG